TCTTTTTCTATAAACCCAGTCTCCATGGGATGATAGCAACTAAGGATCCTCTTTACTGGGGCAAGAAACAGCCCACAGCCTGGAAAAAGAGCTTCATGAGTCTTAAAAACAAGCAGGAATGTGGGAGAGAGGAGAAATTCCAGGTCTTCTCTTGTGAAAATGCTCTCAGACGTGACCGGAGGGTCCCGGAGAGGTGGAAGGAGCCCCTTGTTTTCTTATCAACCTCTAGGTGTTTGCATTACCCCGAGAAATACAGTCAGACCTCTTAGGGTGGCGTGTTAGCGAGCGAGCGGGTGGTGAAACTGACATTTCTCCGAAGAACTGACATTTTAAATACAATCTTTCCTCTTAAAGATCTCACTAGGTGGACGGCTCTTCTCTGCCTCAGATGCGAAGCCAAAGATACTCGAGAAGGCATCTATTCCCTTTTGTTTCCCCAGCTGCCTTCTGTCATCACAAACCATTCCTATTTTTGTCCCGTATCTCCTGCTTGGCGGGTCTTCCTGCAGAAGGATAAACATATAGACACGGACCACAGCAAGGCTGAAGGAATCCAATGGAAAGGGCAGGGAAGGGAACCATGACCTTGGGTTTTAAACTGGATCTGGACATTAGCATATAAGGCTCCTCCGCCCCCCCCCNTGACTGCCAGCTCAGAGCCTGGAGCCTGTTTCAGAGTCTGTGACTCCCTCTCTCTCTGGCCCTCCCCTGCTCATGCTGTCTCTCTCTCTCTCTCTCCTAGAAATAAATAAAACATTTAAAAAAATTTTTTTTAAATTCTATCTTTAATCACAGAGGGGTTGTGGCCGAGGTACACATTCACAAAGGTTCATCTTCTTGTAAAATGGAGTGGCCACTGGGAAGTGTTTGGCCAGCCAGGTCTGTATTTTCCAGTCTCCTTTGCATTTGGGTGGGATAAAGTAATGAGTGTCTACTAATGGAATATAAGCAAAAGTAAGCGAGTATCACTTCAGAGCCAAGGTGATTAGAAGTGTGTATTCCTTCTTTAATTTTCTTCCCATCTTCCACTGGATGAAGAGGACTCTAAGGCCTCAGAGAGTGGCAGAATTGCAAAATGAAAGGAAATCGGGTTCCTGAATCATCACGTGGAAGAGAGCCACCTGCTACTTGGGAACATCCTCATTGGATTATTACAAGAGCGAGAATCAGACTTTCATCTTGCCCAGTGTCTGTAATATCGGGGTTTACTTATTATAGCAGCTACCATTAGCCTAAGTAAGAAATGAATAAGGGAATGGGAACGTGTGTCTGAGGCAGTAAAAAGTGCTGAAAGTGGACATGTGTACAGTGGCTGGCAGTGTCTTTTTTTCACACTAACACACAGGCCATAGGGCCAAGGGATTACAAAAGGGCATCTGCAATGCTCTGTCAGATAAGGTGGATAGGCAGTTGATGTTACACACACACACACACACAACCACTTTGTGTGTGTATTCCAGAATGCCAGGATTAAAGATGGAAGTAATAGGCCTCCAAGGCCATCTCTCAAGATCTTATCTGTAGTTCAGGAAGTTGACCCAGATGGAGACAGTAGTGCAAGTCCACTAAGCAGTGGTGGTGTCCAGACCAGCACCCAGGTCTTCAGGGTGGCATCCAGACCAGCACCCAGACTCTTCTTCTCAACCCTCTTTCCCATTCTCTCTGGTTTATCCCCGCTTCTCCCTTGACAAATCCTAACATTGAGATAACCCAGAAATGACTCAAAAAGGGGGAATGACAGGTATGAATGGATTTCATGACTTTACATCTACCGTGTCATGAACTAAAGGGCATTTTTCATTTTCAACATGGTGGCTGGCAAAGAATGAAACAAGCCTGTTAACCACACCCTTCTTCTTGCCCACTTTCTTGTTTTGTGTCCCCTTGAACTCTATCTGCCAGCCATGCCGATCATCATTATTCCAGGACCTCACCAGATCCTGTTCTGTCCCTGTTTCCTGGAGCATGTTGCTTCCTTCTGCCTCTCCTTCAACACCAACCCCCCATCACCGAGGTAATCACTGTGTATTCTTCCTTCTAGATCCTACTTAAATGTTATATTCTCTGTATAATCTTTCCCGATGCTTTCAGGCTGAGTTGGTGTTTCCCATGGCACCTGTTTATGCCATTCCTAGAGCACTCATGGCACAGACCTGTAATTTCTATTTGTACTTTGCTGGTTCACATGCTTCGTAGGCTCCTTCCCATCACTTAGCTCTTCAGAAAGGGCAATGGTACCTACAATGTCGTCACCCTTCTTCTTCCCTGAGTTGTTCAGACTGGGAGTTCAGACAAAGGTACCAACCCACCAGCACTCCAGCCACCATGACGCAGCCGCTACAGAGGATTCTGCCCTTTGGGAATGGCCCTACGAGGAAGGGGGTGGCGGGGATTGGTCACATTCACTCCATTGAGAATTTGCTCTCTGAGAAAAAGAGGGATGTCCGAGTCAGTGGCGGGAATGGAGCTGCACTCATGCTGTAGTGTCAGGGCTGGTGGCCGTGCCTGGCCATGTGTCAGGACAAGCACAGCAAAAGGAGCCCCTCAGGAGGGAGAGGAAGGGGTTGGGTCTGATGGGGAGAAGGAAGCGAGGATTGGGGACACTATGCACTTGAGGAATGGAGAGAGTGTACTTGGCTCCTAAGGGCTTTCAGCACCCTATTACCAGCTGTGGTTCTGCCTTGGCTTCCATGAGCCCCCCACCAGCCCTCTGCAGCACTGTCCCCTCCACTTCTCAGGCTAGGTTAATGGGTTTCTGTTTTTTGCAACCAAAAGAGTCTTGGTTTAAAAAGTGTTACCTCCCCCTCTGGACTGTGAGTTGCTTGAGGTCTTCCTTGTATCACCAGAGTGTAGATCAGTGCATAGATGAATTCAAAATCCACTTGTGGCATGGGTGGTGAGTAAACGCATGAACGAATGTGCCTCTCGGCAGGGCCCCGTTGGCCGCGCCGGACTCCTGCCCCACCGTGCCTTTCTGATACAAAAAGCTCTTTCCTTTAAATACCACTACTCTGCTGCCTCTGTCCCCCAGCATCTGAACGTCCAGCTTTTGACAGGTGGCATTTCCCTCAAGTATTTTTTGCTTTAAAAATATTGGGTCTGGCACATTGGCATCTGAGGGGACAACAGATGCCAACAGGAGATACAAATAGGAGACGACACTGTCACCTCAACAACATCTGCTCCAGAAGAAACCCCAGGTGGCCCCCTGGACCTTTTCCTGAAGAAACATGGGAGAAGCAAGCTGTATTTAGAGAGATATAAGTATAGCTTTTATTTTTTTTTTAAACCAACCCAACATTTCCACTGGCAACTGTCAACATAGCTTATGACATGAGCACGGTTTCTTTTTTAGTTATTTTTTTTCTTAAAAAATGTGTTTAAAATTAAACAGGTGTTTTTTAATTTCTTTTTTTTCCCTTAAAAAATGTATTTATGTCAATGCAGAAAGCCTAAAGATCTGTGGGCAGTTTTGTGATGATTTCGTGTGTGTGCGCGTGCGCACGTGTGCATGTGCACGTGCACGTGTGTTTTAAAGCCAGGTCCTTTCCAAATTTGTTGGGAAAAGGTCTGTAGGCCACAGCAATATCTTTTTCTATAAACCCAGTCTCCATGGGATGATAGCAACTAAGGATCCTCTTTACTGGGGCAAGAAACAGCCCACAGCCTGGAAAAAGAGCTTCATGAGTCTTAAAAACAAGCAGGAATGTGGGAGAGAGGAGAAATTCCAGGTCTTCTCTTGTGAAAATGCTCTCAGACGTGACCGGAGGGTCCCGGAGAGGTGGAAGGAGCCCCTTGTTTTCTTATCAACCTCTAGGTGTTTGCATTACCCCGAGAAATACAGTCAGACCTCTTAGGGTGGCGTGTTAGCGAGCGAGCGGGTGGTGAAACTGACATTTCTCCGAAGAACTGACATTTTAAATACAATCTTTCCTCTTAAAGATCTCACTAGGTGGACGGCTCTTCTCTGCCTCAGATGCGAAGCCAAAGATACTCGAGAAGGCATCTATTCCCTTTTGTTTCCCCAGCTGCCTTCTGTCATCACAAACCATTCCTATTTTTGTCCCGTATCTCCTGCTTGGCGGGTCTTCCTGCAGAAGGATAAACATATAGACACGGACCACAGCAAGGCTGAAGGAATCCAATGGAAAGGGCAGGGAAGGGAACCATGACCTTGGGTTTTAAACTGGATCTGGACATTAGCATATAAGGCTCCTCCGCCCCCGCCCCCCCCCCCCCCGCCGCCCCAGGCCCAGCCCCTGTTCTTCAGTGGCCAGCATGGTGTGCAAACATACTTCCACCCAAACACCATGACTCTCCTGCTCAGAAGAAAAGGAGCCAGGAGGGCAGGACCCTGATGGAGCCGAGAGAAAGCTGTCACCCAGGAAGTGGGGGAGAGCGTGCAGCTGAGAATCCTTGCCTCTACCTGTCGGCTCAGACCATGAGCTCCTTCACAGCACCTTTGTTACTAACTTCAGAAAGAAAAGACACGATGAAAAAAACAATGAGCAACGCCTGACGGGAAAACGAAAGCATTGCAATAATGACTACGATGAAATGGAAAGGGAGCCCCAAAGCGGCCACACGGAGAGGCCTCATTTCCACCCTGGCCAGCCGAGTGAGAGAGCAGGGAGGAGCGGGACTGGACAGACAGGGGCCGCCCTGTCCCTGGGGAGGGAGAAGCAAAGGAATAACCAGAAGGCGGTGAGAGGCTCTGACCTTTGCTAGGGGTCGGGGACACGGGTGGGAAGATGGGGAGGAGGTGGATTTGTTGCTGCTGTTGGTTGGTATTGAATTAAATATTTCGTAAAGTGGCTGTTTCCTCCACTCTGGTCGGTGGATTGAGACTCTGCCCTTTCAGTCCGTGGCCGAGGCCTGGGTCGGTTGAGGTCCCTGGGGCTGGGGTCCTGCCTCCACAGGGCTGCTCACCCGGAGAGGGGGCAACGTGCCCTTCACGCAGGAGGAGTCCGAGGCCTGCGCTGCGGGGCCCCGCGCTGTGGTTCAGAACCCCCTGATGTAGCAGTAGGCCTCCAGCGTGGCAAAGAGTATGTAGAGGAGCCACAGGCTCACAAAGAGCCATGTTGTGGCCAGCTTGCAGCCACGGGGGCCGCCCAGCTCCCCACCCAGGTGTGGCCGCCGGCGGTACAGGAGCACGCTGATGCACACGAATGCGAAGATGGTGAAAAGGGTGACGGAGAAGGCCAGCGTGCCGGCCGACACGTAGAAATCCTGTCCCTGCAAGGCCCAGTAGATGGCGGCCACGGACCAGGCCAGGCCGATGCCCAGGAAGACGTTGATGGCGTTGCTGCCCGTGACGTTGCCGATGGAGGCATCTGAGTACATATCCTGGATGGCAGCGGCTTTGCTGGCAAACATATCTGGAAAAGGACAGAGATCGCGGGAGCTGGAAGGAGCCTGAGACCTGGAGGGCCCACCTGTGTGTCCAAAAGGCTGAGCTCAGGAAGGAGAGGCAAGGCGTCTGTTGCGAACAGGCTGTGTGGCCTTGGACAAGTTGCCTCACTTCTCTGGGCCTCAGGTTCCTCATCTGCTGGAGTCTGAAAGGTCCCTAAGGGCCTACTCGTACTGATATTTACTGAGTGGGCCTGCTGTGCCCTTTGGATTATGCTTTTAGTTAAGGGGAGTTTGCTATCTCACCCTCTCTCCCCAGGGAACCTTGGCATCCAGGGAAACTGCGTAGGGTAGATGCCTGATTGTAACCATCACATGGGGCGTTCTCATGTAACACAGTCATGGCGCAATGCCCTGGACCCAGCATTGTGTTAAGTCCTGGATTTACAGGGACGGAGGACATGCCAGGTATGGACTCAAAGAAGACAGGGCTCTGCCTTTGTAGTTAGTATGTGAGGCACAGAGCACCACACGCTGTTTGACGTTAGATGTTGGCATGGACTGTAGACATTGGAAGCACTGTCGGGGACATCTAGCCGCCCTTTTACTTCAAAGGTAGGGAAAATAAAGCTCAAGGAATCCACCCACGGTCACGTGGGAAATTAACAAGATATTTGGCCCTAAAAGCCACATGGAAGGGTCCTCTGTATATCGTCACCTTACATCCAGAGAGTTTCCGGCAAGACCATGAATTTAGCGTAGTGAACCATCACATAACATTTCCCAAGCCCCTAATGCTGCCAGCTGTTAGCAACTTGGACCAACTGCAAGGACTTGGAAGTGCCCCAAGCTGTCTCCTTGCCCATGTGTCCTGGCTTGCCTCCCTGTTGCCCATTTTCTCAGATCTCCTAGAGAAGACCTCTTGCCTTTTCTTACCTATGACCTTGCTGTTTCACCTCTGATCCTCTGCACTTTCTTCCCACATGTGTTCCTTACCCCTGTGATAGTTCTTCTCCTTCCCATCCCTGGAGGCCCGGAGAACAGGGATCACAGGGCATCTCCTCCACAAAGCCTTCCATAGATCATCTGTCTAATTACCACCCGACACATTTCCATGAGAGCCACATCTCTTGCATCACTAACGTACAAATAATCCCTCTGCTCTGTGCTGGGGCTTGGAGAAGAGGTTTTCCTGGAGTGTGATGTCAATTCAGTTGCCCTCCAGAAGGATGTGTTGTCTTAGTCCAGGAAGGGATTCCCTGGGTCCAGCCAGCAGCGTCCTGTCTAATGGGATTCAGCTGAACCTGCTTGTCAGAGGATGTTCTCTTCCTTGCTGTGGCAGTGGGGAGGCTCCCCGACAGGAGTTCACGTTCGGATGCCTTGGACACCCAGCTGAGCTAAGTAAGGAGCCCAGGCTAACATGGCCCTCTGCCTACTAATGGCTCCTTGTCATTCCAGCCCAGCTTCCAGAAGGCTGTCTTGGAAGCCACCCCGGACCCACCCCAGCCCAGGTCCCCCTGCTTTATGCTTGCACAGCAACAGACTCTACTTTCCCTTCATTGAACTTATCCAGATGGTATCAACTGCAGTAGTTGAGTGTGGTTTCCTGTCACTAGCTGATGGACTCCACTCAGGCAGGGGAGCACGTCTGCCCTGCCTCCCACGATTGCCTCAACAACTAGCACAAAGCTGCGTCGGGCTTAGTAAATATTTGTCTAATGAATGAATAAATTCATGCCTGTTCCTGTTCGCCTTTGGGTGTTTATACGAGAAAAAAAGACTATGTAATTCATCCTATGGAAGGACAACAGCTCGCTAAATCTGCCTCTCCTGTCCCGCCAGGAGACAGTGTGTACCTCACAGGTGTCCCTCTAAGGGAGGCCAGGAATGCTTGGAAGCATTTCGAATGTGGCACCTTCAAGTTCAAGTGGGCCAATCTTCCAACTCAGAGACCACCAGAGGGAAATGGAAGGAGAACAGTATCTATATTTTTTGAATGACGTTGTTTGTGGCCCTCATATAACATGGAAGTTAAGAGAGTGGGCCGCTTCCATGGACAGTTGACTTAACTCTGTGGGCCTCAGTTTTCTCATCTGCCATGTGGGGATGATCATTATCTCCATTAAACAGGGTTTTGGTGAGCATCACAGGATAAAACACGTCAACTGCTTAACATACACAGTGCATGGCACATTACAAGTACTCAAAAAATGTTAGCCCTTGTTAGGAATGTTATTGGTAATCCCTTTGACTTTTGTGCACCTTTGGGGGCAGAGGCTCTGTTAAGCTCAGATGTGAGATAGTAAGGAAGCTAATGAGGCAAAGTGTAGGGTCACTTGACCCTGGTGATATCCTCTTTGCAAACCCGAGCACCCCTCACTCTTACCTGGCACAGAGGTGCCAAATGCCACAAACACAACAGCTGTGACCGAGTCCTTGAGGCCAATGGTGCAGCCGAAGTGGGAGGCCAGGTCCCCGATTATGGCTGTGAGCATGCCAATGATGAGAATGGACACAACAAAGCAGGCCCAGCCATGGCAGTACTCTGTAGGGGGAACGCAGGCAAACAGCACCTTCCAGAAGACCGTCAGAAAGTGCATGACGTAGTCAAAGCAGGATGGCAGCCTCTCCTCTCCTGACTCATCCTCATCCTCGTCCCCTGCTGGAGGCAAGAGAAAACAGGCCCAGGAGAGGGCAGTGAGGTCAGATCCTCACTCATGAGAAAGTCAAGTCAACCCACAAGACAAGCATTATTGGCTGGCAGGAGACCTCAGCTCTCTCCTGGGCAGTGGCATGGGCCAGGGCACAGGCACCAGAAAACAGTTGGGAAATGGTAACCGAGCTGGGCTGCGCACTGGTCAATGTGAATGCAGAGAATCCAGGGAGGTTGGGGGAGAGAGGACAGGGGAATAGGGAGAGAAGGGGGAGAGGGGGAGAGAGAGAGAGAGAGAGAGAGAGAGAGAGAGAGAGAGAGAGAGAGAGATCAGGGGAAGAACACAGGAGAGCCAAGGCAATGAAACAGAGAGGAGGGTGGAGCCGGCTGCACTGGGCTGCCTGCATGAAGAAAAGCGAAATCAGCTGTGTGTCCACTCGTCACTGGACACCGACGGGGTGCCTCTCTAATCTTCCTGACATGCTTGCTGCAGTAACCCCGTGGTTCTGTTTGTTATCCGTCCCCAGAGGGGTGGTTGTCATTCCAGATCATGCGGGTGTACCAGAGAGCCGGCGCCATCCTCCAAATATCTCATGGGACAGGGCAGGGATGGGCCCCATTGTCCTTGCCAGGAAATGTGGGCAGAGTTGCCCACTCAGCTGTCTGGGAGAAGAGGATGTGCTGAGGCACGCTGGCCCCTTGTCCAGGGCAACCTCTGTATGGTTTTGACACCATCGGTGGAAGGTGGATTGTGAAAGAGCAGGGGTTAGGACTCCTGAGTTCCAGTCACAGCTTTGCCAGGAAGAGGATCCGTAAGCTGGGGGTAAATCACCTCTTGTTTCTGAACCTCAGTTCCCTCCTTCGAGAAAGAAGGGGGTTAGAAGATGTGGCTTATATTCTGTTTCTTGTCTCTTTAGGGGCAAAGCAAGGTCATCCACCAGAGGGGAAACTGGGAGTATCTGAAGCGGGCGACAAGAAAAATGGAGCAGCCACGCCCACAGCCACCCTCTCTTCCTGACTGTACTTCTGCTCTGGCTCCGGGGCTTCAGGGATATGACCCTGTGGGTTGCTATGACAACAAAGCCTCATGAAAGCAGACAAGGCTGGTGGCGCTGGGCAGTACAAGGAGGCCTCGGTGATGCCAAGAGGCACTCTCGGTGGTGGTGGTGAGATGTTGCCTGGCACCCTGGCTGTGCTATGGGCCACCACTGAGGGAATCTGTCAGTAAACGCCAAAGGACAGGTCTGGAATCATCCAGGGTGGTGGTTTGTCAGAAGTCAATGCATAGATTTTACAAACTCTGGACCCCCACATGTCTGATCAGAATAGCCCCCTAGTTTACAGAAAAGGAAGACCAAAGTAATGAGAGGAAGGATGATGGAAACCAGAATTTAATGAGTTCGTATTGGTACCAGACTCTACCATTCTATTTACTTTGCTGAGAAAGGTTGAAATGGTCCTTTTTTTTGAATGAGGGAATTGTGGTTCAGGGAGGATAACTTGTCCCAGGTCACACAGTGGAGCCAGGATCTGAAACCAGAAACAGCCATGCTCTTTTAGCTACCCCATGATTCTTTCCAAAGTGACCCAGTGAAACAGGTGAACATTGAGCACTAGAGCCGGGGCACAGAAACCTTCCCAGAAATTGGTAGCTGCTGATGGGGCCGTGTTCTCTTTTCTCTGGCGTTACCTGCTTCTCCCAGTGAGGCCGGTGCCCATCTTGAGACCCTCTTACCTGCACTGACAGTGATGGCCTCCATGAACTGGTCCCTCCAGGAATGGGTCCCCACAACCATGGCCAGGTTTGTCTTCTTGATCAGTTTGTCCACCGTACTCTGTCAGGGAGAGAAAAACTTGGAATCATGAGGTTAGAACGCTCAGAACTGTTGAAGAGTCTGGTGCTTCAAGGGAATGGAAGATGTCTTGTATCCAGGCATATCCACATGAGTTCTCAAAGTAATGGCCTTGGATCTTCTGGGTCAGTCTTTCTATTTCTCTTTTCTTTGGTTGTGATGACGGATATTGGATACTTAGAGCAACACAGCAGAGCATAATGGCAATGGTGTCAATAAACTTTGCCCCAGAGTAGAAAATTTTGGAATCTTTGTTTTTAAAATACAGTTAACAATAATGATAATACATCCAAGGGCTTTATAGCCCATTTACTCCATATGTTATGTTTTCTCCCAATATTCCTGGGATCTAAATGGCCAGTACTATTCGTTCCATGTTACAAATGGGGAGACTGGCCCTGGGTGGTTAAGTGATTTGTTCAGTTTCAACTTCACACGTTCAGTGGTGAAATTGGAACAGAACTTCTACCTCCCACCGCATTACCCTATTATTCAATTAGATCTCACTTATAGCCTGACCTTGAACTCAAAGGATTCTTCAATGATGACCTCTAGTTTGGGATGTTCACCCAGTATTGGCTTTCCCATTTCTGCTATCCTCTTGGCCTCCTCCTCCTCCACAGTCAGCTTCCTGTCTGTCACCTCTGCAACGAAACAAAAGCAGACTAGCTTTATCACATTCGCCACTCCCTGGGAGTCTAAAGCTCAGAGTATTAGGCATGGGCAATGGGCACAAAGCAAACTGCTCTTGAGAATAGGGACTTTGTGTACTTTTTACTGACTCTATACGATGCTGAATGTTTTAGGACCGTTAGACCAGGTCCCTTGCATTCCTAGGATAAACATTTTTATTTTATACCTGGGTAAGCAACCAGACTCAAAGACCTTCCAAGAAACAGCACCTACTAAAGTCTCCATATCATCAGGTGAGATATTGGAGAGTTGGGAAGAAAAGGCTTTAACAGTTTTGAATTGTTGGGGCTAACTGTTTAACTACTTAATGTAAAATTCTTGGGTGTCAGAACCACACATTAATCTAAAGGGTATGTCTACTGGTTCCCATTAACATCTGTTTCCAACACCATTGGGGCCATGCCCTTTATAGAGGAGAAAGGAGCAATATCTCACTCCATACAAGTGAATGTTATCCTCACAATGAGAAACTTCAAGATTTCCTGAAAGATTTCATGATTCTCCAATGAAAGATCCTCAGGATTTCTGTAGGAACCAGGACATTTCTTCTGGAACAGAAACACTCATTCAATCAAAATCAAAAGGAAGCTCTTCCTTTACTTTCTTTTGAGGCATTCCCTGTGTCCCTCAGCATCTTGACTCGTTTACCAGTGGTCCCTTCTCATGTTGAATGGTGGGGAAGTTTTTCCACTTCAGCTGGTGAGTCCATTTTAAGACCACTTCACCATGAAGACATGTTTTCTGGATTACAGTGAAATAGAGATTGAATCTTTTTATTCCCCTTTGATTAGAAAATTGCTCTTGGCAGCCTGTTTCTTTCAGAGATCATTTAAACATCTTTCCTTCCAAGGCCACATTCTTTCATGCAATTAATTCTTTTATTGAGTTCCTTAATTGCTTTCATTTCACACAGTGAATCCCCTACGGGAATCCTTTAGTCCTTGGATAATCTCAAGGGCAAAGTGGGTCAGAGGCCAAGGAGTTCTTCTTTTCTCTTTAACTTGGGAATCGGTGAAGTGTAGGGTGAGACTCGAGTTCTTGAAGGTGCAAGGAAAGGAATTCACTGGAAAGATGAGAAGCTAAGAGTATAAGTTACCAGAGAGGCTGCTTTACATGAGGATTTTCTTAGTTGTCGTGAATGAAGATGGTAAAGTATGCGGAGGGTTCCTGAGTGGGCTGTTTTACTCTGTGCTTCTGGCACCAAACAAAGAAGGCAATCCCAAAAATGTTCGGGAGCTGTCCGTGGTGCTGTCCTCTAGCTTGTGTTGGTGACGGCTTTCGGAAGCAATTATTTTTCAAGGATCAATGTCCTCTCTATTTCTAAGTAAAGAAACACCCTCTAGGAGCCCAATTTTATTCAATTCATTGATTCTGAGTCTTTAATTAGTTAATTATGAAGGTAAATATGGGTACATCCAGGGTTCTGGCTATGAAGTCAGTGATCCTAGAAGCCAGACTGCAAGCCACTCCGAGACAAAGCCTTTAGAAAAAGACTTATAGATTCTTTAAAAGCATGGGTACTTTTTTCCCCTCTACTTTTGACTTTGGCACCATATCACAATGGCTATCCTAGCAGTGACAGTATTATTCTATTCCTCCCTCCCCGATTCCCCCATGTCATACTTTACATGTGCCACAAGAACTTTATACCAATATAATGAGCTCTCCAGTGACATATAAATGTACCTGTCTAACCCCTGGTCTACCTATCAATCTGGCACTATATCCATCTGGCAGGATATTGATCTACCTACTGACCTGTCCACCCCTGTGGTGACAGTCAGTTTTTCCATCTAGCTTTTTGCAAAAGCCTCTTTGACAAATACCGATCCTCTATCTATCTTTGGATCTCCCACAGCCCCACAGAGGTACTCCATATACATGGGTTAAGTGCTTGATTCACATGCCTTTAAATCAACTCTGATTTAGTGTCTTGGTTTGATAGTGATCCCTGCCTTTTTCTATTTTTATGATGATCATTCCTTCACATTCAAATTAATTTCTTGAGAGAGTGATAAGCCTCCAGTCTAAAAGACCATAATGATTCTGACAACTTGTTTATGTAATTACTCAGAATTTAAAGTGAAGAGAATAAATGATAAGTGATTTTGATATTTGGGCTGACTGAACAAACTCTCAGATCTCAGAAAAAGGGGGAGGGGAAGACAGAGAGAGAGAATACGAATAAGATGAAAGATTGGACAAATATTGGAAGAACAAAGAGCTTGCCAGGCCAGACAAGAATAGATGCTGTGAATGCTCTATAGGCATCCTCAGGAAGAGATGGGGCTATGCAGCTAATGCTCTCACTCCCAGGTCCCTGAGCTCGGCGGGGTGGCTCAGAACGAACATATTTACTCTCCATCTTTCACCGCCAGGCATTGTTAATCATGTTCGCCTGTCCAAACAGGAAAATTCAAACAAGAAGTTGAGATTTACCATGAATTTCAAGTCTAACCATGGGCTCCTAAATTAAGTTTACAAATTGAAAGACCTAGAGAATGGCACCTTCTTTTCCTATTTCAGTTTCTACTGGTATTTTTGCAAATATGTTAAAAGTACAAAAAAGTCTAAATTAAATCACAAACTTTGTTGTGTGCATATGTGTGTGGTTGGTGGTGGGGGTGGGTAGAAGCAAGAGTTGTAACAAAGAAGCCCAAACACCTTCTCAGGCAAGAAGGTAAGTGAAGTGGAGAAGTAACTCCCAATGCCATGGCATTAATACCCTGGGGGAACAGTGGAAAATATGGGATCAGAGGTAGTTCTTACCCTGCTGGTCTAGAAAGGAAGCAAGTGGCCAAGGAAGCTAAAGTCATTTGTTTCCAGAAAGCAAAAATGTAGGGGGATCCCTATTTATATTGTTGTTATTATTGCTGTATAAGGCTGCCAGGAAGGTACATGTCCTTACTATATACCTGCCCCTTCTCAAAACCAAGCTGTGGCCTATATGTAATTCTGAACACTAGTGAATTCTGTAAGTTGTTTTGCTTCTCAAATGCTGTTAAAATTTTTTATATGTTCAAAGAACTGATGAAATTGAAAATGTTATTTTAATTTACATTGAGACTTCTGGTATGGCTCACTCTGCCTATACGGAGAGTTACAGTATTGCCGATATGCTGGAAATGCTTGTCTATCTGCTCACAAAGTTGGATGTTGTTTATGATTTGATTCCACCGATGCAAGCATACTCTCAAAGAAGGTGTACATCCTACAGCAGCACCTAGATTCTGCATGTGAATATGTCCACAGTAAACTCGCCAAAATTTCTATTTTCAGCCAGATAACTTGTCTCCACCACCCATCACATCCTAATTCTACTTCTTGTTCATGGCACATGTGACTTCAAGGGTCAATGACAAATGAACCAAAGTTCTAGCAATTTAGGTCTCAGCTATAATGAGATGGAAGATCTCCAAGATCAGAAAATTTCCAGATTCTTTAAAAGTTGCATTTCATGTTCTCACAGCAGCTCGATTCTTTTTCCTTGGTTCCCTCAAGATCAAAGTATTTTCTTTCGAATCCGATCATGACCCTATCCTCTCTTGCCCCACAACATGAGAGGACAGATGAATTAAGACTCAGGAGAAGTCTTTGATAAGTTTCAGCTCTCTTCCTGGTCCTAGAGAGAAACAGCTACGCCTTTACCCACATACGCTGACAAAAGGGGTGCTCAGTGAGTTGCCTACTTCCTCACAATTACTTCAAGTGGGGAAAATAAATAAATAATAATAATAAATAATAAATAAATAATAAATAAATAATAAATAAAATAAATAAACCCCTCCGTCCTTAGTAGAACTTGTCAGGTTAGCTCGAGCCCGCAGCTCCTATTAAATAAACCAAAGGACATTGGTCTTAAACTAAATAATGGCACTGGCAAGTAGAAAAGAGGGGCAAGACACCTCTTACCTGGAGACAACAGGAGCGCTGTTTGCAAATGGATACCAGACACGGGGAAGAAAGAAAAGGAAAGAGCATTAAGGTCCCATCTTGAAAGTGTCCCCAGGCTCTGTGGTTGCAGCGGCATAAGGAAAGCTTAGTGGGTGAGAGCTCTGCAGCCACATGCAAAAGGCAGATTTGGAGCATGCGCAGTAGCAGCAGCAGCAGCAGCAAGCGCTATGAACCACTGGAGAGATGGCTGAGCACCAGAGCCCTGCAGCCTGACTTTCCCCCACACCTTCCCTGTAACTCTCGGGGGACTAGGGAAAAAGGAATGAGGATGGGAGAACCATGTGAGTGGAGCAGAGACAGAGTTGGTCATTTGTGATCTTCTAAGGAATCAGGTTATCATATCCATTCTGTAAAGGAATGAGAATCCAGTTACCATGAAAACCGTAGAAGGTCACAACCCTGCCAGAGTAGCTGGCTTGTCAGCAGAGAACATGACCCTGGGGCTTGAAGAGGAGTTCAGGGTAGTGGGCAGTGGCATACAGTAGTGGAACTGTGTTCAGTCCTATAGCCTTATAATCAGATCATGCTCAGCTTCTCAGGGCCTGTAACATTTCCATGGCCACAAATAGCTTCCTAGCTACCACATTGGCCAGAACTTTGAGTTCCCCTCAAAGAACGACCTAGTGAAAAGCTAAGTTCTGCAGAATGTTCTTTTGAATGGTTTATCTTTTTACAGATACAGCCTGGAGGTTAGGGCCATGGACTCCTAGGGGAGGACCATTTTGTGTCACCTGTGCCCAGCAAAGTCACTGCAACCCAGAGGTGTTCAATAAAACTTTGTTTCTTGCCACATATTTTGGCAACTGTTAATAGATCAATTGGTCCTGCATCTCTGGACGCTGGTCTTTTTGTTCCAGAAAGGCTAACCCAGAGTCATACTGAAAGCTCTTTGTAGGTGGAAGATGCCAAATAACAAGGCTTCTACATGGACTGGGAAGTGGGGTTAGACGTACCTAACAAAGGGCATCCCTAGCCCCTGGGTTTGTGCTTTTGCAAAAAAAAATTCTTGTGACCCACCACCTGTTCATCTCATTAGTGTCTTAGCACAGCCCCACACCTCCTGGCTCTTGTCAAATAAAAGTCTGGGAACATCCTACCACATACTCCTGGTATGGCCGGTGACTGATGGTGCCGAGGAAGGAGTGGGGTGGTGTCTGTGAATTGTTTTTTCTAAAAATCTCTAGGAATGCAACCCAGGTCTGTGATCCATCATCCCACGGCCACAACCACTGAAGACACGTGTGGATTGAGAATCTTTACGGTACGTAAGCAGAGCAAACAGCAGTTGACTTTCTGCTTTCTCCCATATGGAATTCCAAGGGGGTAATTGATGAGTGACTCTCCTTGCTATATTCAGATAGATAGATAGATAGATAGATAGATAGACAGATAAATAGCAAGAAAGCTTGTTCATTCTGCTTCTTCTACAGACCTGCTTGGAAGAGCCTCTCTTGGCTCCCAAGTTCCAGTAGAAACCAGAAACCCGAACACATTAGTGTACCCGGGTAGGCAAGACAAGGGGTAGCTCTTCTCAAAAGGTCCCCGCTGCCCCGTTTTTCACTCAGATGTCCCTCCCAACACCACCTCATCTCTATCACAGTGAGAGGGCTTGCAGTCAGCTGGGGTTGGCCCACTCTCTGGTCATTGTCTACATGAGTTTGAGACTTTCCACTTAGCAGTTATAGATGGGTCAGTGAGATCCAGATAGGCCAATTCTGAGTGACATAATACCTCCGGGATGTTCTTCCTGCTGCTGCTGCTGCTGCTGCTGAGAGAGTCTGCCGCCGAACTTTCCCTTGTATTGATCCCCAGGGTCAGGTGAACATCATTTATCCCTGCTCAGACACCCCAGGGACATACAGGAAAGAGCATAGCTCTATGAATAATTGGAAGCATCTGGGCAACTTGTCAGGGTGAGGCCACCGGTGTGGTAAGAGGGGTCATGAACGGGCCCTATGACTGGGGGAGAATACTTTCCTTTCCACATGAGGCCTCCAGTGTCCAGGCCCAACAGCCTTGACCACGCTGCACAGTGTTGCTCTCAGATGTCTACTTCTGGACTCGGGTGCTTCCTCTATGCCAGGGCAACCATGTTTCCTATTCATCCTCCCTTTTCCCCTCCTCTGGCTCATCTAGAGCATTTAATCTCCCCTCTAAAGTCTGTTTTGTTTTCCAAGAATAGAAACTGCTATTTCAAATACAGCCTTTTTTTTTTTTTTTTTTGTAATACAATTGTCATTTTGACCATGCAAAGTCTATGCTGTTCTGAATGGCTAAGACTCTCCCAGGCAGCAGTGATAATGAAAAGCAATTTCTACTGTACAGCTTCTCAATCTGAGAACAGCAGGGAATTCTGAAAATTGGGACAGGACTGGTTTTCATTCGATTCTGAGTCTAGACAATCAAGTTGTATGACCTTTTTACCTTATGGTCTAATACCAAAATACGGGAAAATCGGAAGAAACTGAAAATAGACGATAGACCAGGTCAGGAAATGCACATATTTCCTATTGGCATCTTCCATCTTGGCATCTTGGTCACTGGGAAGATCTGAAGGATACCTGCCTTCTCACTTACTCTGTCCCCAAGACTAAGCTCCACTTGGCCTTTGCTGACATCTCCTTGGACAAAGAGCCCAGTGCAGAAAAGGGGCGGGGGAGGTTCTCAAATGGAGAGCAGACAAAGGTATTTGCATTTGGCTAAGTCTCTTGAAGAGCACAAGGTGTATCTTGAGTCACTTTCTGTCCTGCCGTTGATCAGGGTTTATTGGAGAGGCTGAAAAGAAAAGCCTCTTTAATGGTGGAATAAAGTCATGTATGGACTTGTAACGCATTCTTCTTGTCTGGAGCCATTGTCTTCTTTCCAGCTGCCCTGAATGATCCTTTGTGTCGCTTTCATTTGCACCTAAGTAGGAGAGACTATGGAAATGGATTAAGGTAGTTTACAACAGCCTTAGATGTCCGCTGCATCCAACCAATCTTGAAGATGCACAGGGAAGTGGGAACGAGGTAGGGCAGGTGTTGAGACGATTTCTGAAAACATTCTCAGTGGCAGTGACTGGAGGATTGGCGGGGACATAATCTAAGCAACGGAACTAGGGATGTTTTTCCCCCGCACTCTGGCAGTCAGGGCCATGGCGACATCTTATCAGGTGGCAAGGGGAGGGTGAGTAATGGAAGATGGGGACGGCTTTTGTCTCCAGAGCACTAGGCATGTCCAGACCGGGGAGGACACAGAACTGGTCAGATTTGCAGAGAGAGTCCCCAGAAGACAGTGAGAACTGATCAATCATACCTGTCGATAGCCTTTAGGAGTATAGTTGCTGAATCTCTTAGCTCTGTCCTTGAATGAAAGGAGTTTATGCTGCTCTCTGTCATGTGAACATGAAGTAGCTGCAGAATAACCACCTTTTTTTGAAAAACAAGCGGGTCTCACTGTTCCATCTTCCACGAGGCTCCCAGAAGCATCTCTCTCCTGAAGGGGAGTGTGAATGCCCTTCTCCTGGTATTTCCCAAGAGCACCCTTTTCCATTCCCACATATATTCCTCCAACACTTTTGAAGTAGTGGTTTCCAATCATTTTCTTCAAGGGGACAAATCTTTCCTTACACCTTCCTTGGTCGCAACATAATCGGTCCCTGAGGAATGGAACCCTAGCAGGTATTCCATGATGCATGTCTTGAGGAAGAGAGGAGCTGAGGCCACTTCTCTGGTGTGGGATGAGGGTTCTCGTGGGCTCTAGATGACATGCCTATTCGTGGATGCCAAGCAAAGGCAGGCTCCTGGGAACCGTCTTGCTTCTCAGGGATCAACACCAACGACACCATTTAGAGGTCCTTCTCCTATTAGAAAACCCCTAAGTCAATACTCTGGGCCTGCCCGATGTCATCCCTTTTCCGAGGCCCTCTGGCTGGGGAGATTCCCATACCTGGAATTACTTCCTTCCTTTTGCAGACTCTCGGTTTTCTGCTTTAGGGATTGCATTGTCCTAAAGTAGTCTGAATAAAGTTCCCTACCTTGGGCTAGGAATAGAGGCAGAACGAGACGGGGTGGATGTCAAGGGAAGGAAGACTGGTTCAGGACTCCAGACTGTAGGACTGCCTCAGAAACCAGCTCTCTCTCAGAGAGGTTCCAGAAGTGTCAGAGGGCTCTGACAATTGGTATACCTTTTCATACCATGGTCTCCCCAACTGTGAAATAGTCAGATAAAACACTTACCTCCACGAAGGGCAGAGGGGCCTATGAACCACTCTGCAAGGGAATAACCTGCCAAGCACTCAAGGCAAGTGGGGGAATGCAGCAGAAATCTGTCAAAGCATCATTGCAACATGGGCCCCAGCCCCCAGCCCAGGCCCTTCCCCATTCAATCCAGGCTCGAGGGTAAGGGGTGGGAGGGAAGAAGGCAGGGAAGGGACACAGACATGCATGGCATCACATTCCTTTCTTTTTCTTCTCCTCCCCACCCACCAAGGAGTTTCCACATTTACAGGTTACATGTATGTGTGCGGGCTGTGGGGGAGGGGGCGGGGGGGACAGTGGTGATCAGATCATTGGAGTACAAGGCGGAAGGAAGTAACTCAGTAGGGTAATGAGGAGTTCAGGCTGCAGCGCTGTCCAGAGGTGGGAAAGGAGGACTTGGTAATCAGCTAAGGCTAAGAAGGCAGAGATGACACCGAAACAGGGTGAGAGCGAGAATACAGGAGGGAAAAGAATAAAAAAGTCTGCTGGTCCAAAAAGAGGAAAAAGGAAAAGGGAAGAAAATGGGGGGAGAAAAATAGAGTTGATTTTTGTTGCTGTTGCTTTTCAGTTCAAATTTTTTCTCTTTCTTTTGGTTGCTGTCGTTTTATTTTGTTTTGGTTTTTAAAGAATCTCACACCTGATATTCCACGTTCCATCCATTTCGGTTCACCAAGGACAATGAAGAAATTCTCTTGCCTTTCGTATTCCTCCTCATCTACTATTTTAACCCTTATGGTTTTCCTGTGGGGACAACAAGAGAGAGAGCGTGTCGACTGGGTCGGTAGGTTGGTTTGTCACTTGGAGCACAGCCTTTAAAATCATTCCCCACCACTCCTGGTGCATGCAGCCCAGTCCCGCCATGGTGGCGCATGACGGGACTACGGTGGTTTGTATATTTCTCATATAAAAAAAAATGGTCTCGGCTTTTCTTGTCTCCTTGGTCGTAGCTGTCCTTCTGGGTGTGAAGGAAAGGGGGCCAGGGGACAAGGAAAAGTGGGCAGAGGAAGGGTTTTGGGAGAACAGGAGGGAAAGGGGAAGGACAAAGGGGGTGGTGGTGGGGAGGAGTCAGTTTAGATCCTGCGGAGAGTTAGTAGGAAGTGAGTCAGGCAGCGCATTCCATTGGGTGTCACATGGTAACTGGCATTTCTCTGGGAAGCCGGTAAATGACTGGCCCGTTGGAAATGACCCAGGGCTCTTTTACAACAGGAAATGCATCAGCAGTGCCTAGCTAGGTCTCATTTTCCTTCCTTGTGTCTATACTCACTTCTTAGGTGAGCCTCATAAAGAAAAATTTAAAGTTAAAGTATTTATGAGGAAGGGAAACGAGAGAGAGAGAGAGAGAGAGAGAGAGAGAAAGGGAGGCAGAATTCTATTATCTCTGTCATTCTTTATCTCAGGGCCTCAGTGGTGGGAACTAAAATAAGTATGTATTAACCAGGATATGCTATAGGACTCCTTTAATATTTATGGCTGATGCACTCCTGGGAAAATGTAAATAAATGATATAAGTCATCAAATTCGAAATCACCTTTGTACCTCTATGATATAGGGTGATATGTCCCAAGTCTGGCTTCCTTAAATGCTGATTATCTGGGGCCTGGGGGAAAAGGCGATGGAGGCTGCGATTCATTTCTGGGCTATGTCAACAAAGCATAGCGTCTTTTAAAAACAAATCATTCAGGGAAGCAAAGTTTCCTTGAAAATCACTCCCCTCCAAAGCCTGGCATGAAGCTGGCTCAAGCCTGCTGTCATTGGAGAGGTTGCTACGGGGGCCTGGGTCATACCCGTCTTGGTCCTTCATGGAACCACAGTGGGGTTGGCGGGTCCCTGTCGTGAGCTGTGATTATTATTTTCTGCTTGCTTTGGTTTTGGCCTGGGACCTAAATGCTCTCTAAAGGGCAAAGGGGTGCTAACAAACAATAACTTAAAATGTCTCATCAGGGCCTCTGACGTTCCCCTTCCATTCTGAAGACATGCTCAGCTTTGCCGTCTATAAAGTGGGAGACTGACCCGAGGTGGTTTGTTGGACAAAAGATTCGGGGTGTGTGTGTGTGTGTGTGTGTGTGTGTTTCACAAGTACATACTGGTCACCTTTTGCGGTACTATTCTGAGATACCTTTACATACCTTGCTGAGTAGACAAAAGACACGGTTAATGACTAACAAGAAGAATTCTCTAGAAACTTCTTTCTAGGCCCTAGATATGGGAACCTCGGGCTAAGACATATGAGCCTGACAGTTTTTCCCCTGCAGGGACTCTTGCTGTGGGCTGGAAACGGGGTGCTCTGTGACCGAGGTCATGACCTGGAGGGACACGATTGATGGCCCTGCCAGGGAAGGAACATTGCTCCAAATACTGGCAGCTCCCCTCTACATAGATGGTCTGTCCAGAAGAGGATGTTCTGACTTGCCCATTGGAACTCTGGGGTACGTGACATTTACATTAAAGTCAAAGGCTCCATCTACTCTAAGAAATCCTATGATCTTTTGAGAAAGCTTCCACTCAAGTCAGAATCCCCTCTCCCACTAGTCTAGCTCTTCTGCCACCATACCTGGATGTTCTTTGCGGGGAAAACAGAGTCCAGCAGTAGGCCTGTGACCTAGACCTGGAGCTCAAACCTCTTCCTTCAGCTCAGTCGAGGTCAGAGAGAGAAACGCACTTTGACAGCAGGAATATGGCGGAAAAACATGGCTCCTAAGGGCTGCTTTGGGGAATGGGACGAACCACAAATAGAACCCAAATCCAAATACATCGATTCTCAGTGTCTGCCCATGGGAATCTGTGCTGAGCACCTGGGCCAGTTTCTCAAGGGCTGCCCTCCTGCTGGGGCTGTGCTTTATGGTCTTTTTCTTTGCTGTACATGAAGCCATGCAGGAGAAGCAGAGAGCCCCACATATAATACCCTGGGCTCTTGCTGACTCTCTCTCTCTCTCTCTCTCCTGCCCACCCACTCTCTGTTTTCCCCCATATCCATTTCACCATCCCACAAAAACTTCTATGGACTCTTGGACCTCCTTCTTATGGATACCATCTGACAGGCTGGCAGGTGTTAGGACAGAGCTAGAATCAGAGAGAGGAGAGGGAGAGGTGGAAAGAAAGGAAAAGAGAGAACAAGAAAGAAAAGAAAATGAAGGAACGTGAACCAGAGAGGTAGAAGAAAGGGAGAGAGAAGACAAACGGATCGGAGAAAGGAAGAACCAGAAGAGGAAGGAAGAGAAGAATGTTAACGTTAGTGTGGAGGACAGGGTACTACACCTTTCTGAAAACTCATATCCACCATGCGGGGGCCCATCATCTCAATGAAGTAATTCTTGTTTTTCTCATACGCCTCATCATCAATTACCTTGACGTGAATTGTTTTGCTGTGGGTGGAAAAATAAGTATCGTAAGCGAGGAGCACAGTGGGGGGCATGCCAGCTGGGAGAAGGAGCAGGAAGAGAATGAAACAGTGAAAAATCCAGAAAAGTCAAAGTGTGTCCCCAACACCACGGGGGCACAGAGGAGAGGGGCTGCCCCAAACCCCCTTCCAGGCTCACTGGTTCCTCTTTAGGCTTCATGGGGCTTCATGGCATGGTCAACCTTGAAGACTGGAAAGTCCAAAGTTCTGGGTTCTAATCTGGGATATTCCATGTAACCCTGGACAAAGAATGTAACTGATACACAAATGGGTCAAACAATGCTTACACCACCCCAGGGCAGTAGTGAGAGCAATGAGATAATATATGTATCATGGCTCAAGCATTTAGGTCCTCTGTAATGTTTGTTTCCTTATCCCTCTTGCTTTGAGGACAAGGGAGAATTTTTTTTTTTTTCAGTTTTTGACTTTTGAGCTAGCGTTAGTCTGAAAGGCTGGTGTTATAGAAAGGACAGGTTGGGGGGGGCCACGTTGGCCTGGGGGAGTCTTGCCTGGAAACAAGACTCTTTCCTTTCTCTGTGACAGTGACTACCACGGGGAAGCCAGGAGGGCCATGTGGCTCAAGTCACGCATTCTGGTAATTCATAAATGGGTGCCGAAACTACAAGGCTACCTGCAAATGAGCCCGGCAGTCACAGGGATGCCCTGACTGGATCACATTAACTCTACGACGCTCCGAATCATGGCTACCTTATAAATCCTGCAATGATCTTGTGACTAGCACAATTATATTGTTTTTATGTTAAAATGAGGTTTCGTTAATTTAAACACTGAAAAATATAAACCAATGTTAGTAGCCCTGATTTGCACCTTTCTCTTTCCTTTTCTTTCCTTTTCTTTTCTCTCCCTCCCTTCCTTCCTTCCTCTCTCTCTTTCTCCCTCTTTCTCTTCCTTCCTTTCTCTCTCCCTTCCTCCCTCTTTCTTTCTTTTCTTCCTTCCTCCCTCCTTCCCTCCTTCCCTCCTTCCCTCCTTCCCTCCTTCCCTCCTTCCTTCCTTCCTTCCTTCCTTCCTTCCTTCCTTCCTTCCTTCCTTCCTTCCTTTCATTACTAAAAGCTTAAACAAAGATGGACCTGGGGCTCTCTCAACCTTTGCTCAATAATGGGGACATTTCAGGACCAGACTCCACTTGAGGTTTCTCGCAGAGGGTGTGGGACATTGCTGGAGGGGACATTGCTGTGCATGTTGAGTCTCCCCTCAGCAGCAGGATGAAGAGGTACACACAGGAGCCCTGTCCAGCCACCCATGGGCATGCACTCTCTCAGACCCTGGGGGCCCAAGGGCCTGCCCTTTGTTGAGGAGGCTGAGGCCTTCAGCACCTGTCTTTATTTCTTTTTAAAATCAAGTAATATATAATTACTTATGTATTTTTATAGAAACAAATACTTATAATTTTATAGAAACAAATGTAAGTCTGTCGCTGCTGAAGTGAATTAACAGCAGTTACTAATACACCCTGGTGCCTGCCAGTCCACTGCTTCAAAATCAAAGACTCCAAACCCACACCCATCCCCACTGCATACAGTTCTGGCTAGCCATCACAGAAGGCATGACCGTTCAAGCTCTGAGATGCCTCTTTGGCCTTTCTTCCTTGAGAGCAGTGGCAGTGGTCTTGGAGACAGAGGACCTGGGATCAAATTGGGCCTCCACTTCTCACCAGCTGGGTGACCTTGGGCAAATTGCTAAAAGCTCTTCAAGTCTCATATGTAAAGTAAGGTACAAATATCTACTTCAGAGCGTTCTTAAATGAGATAATGCATGTGAAGTGCTTGGTGGGGTGCATGTTCCTTAGTAAGTGCTTAATAAATAGCAACTATTATTCCTAAAAGTAATATGACCCTAACTTGGTGTCTGGGAGTATTATATCTCCAGTCACTAAGGCAAAAAATAAGGGGAAATCAATACATAGAACTGTTATCCAAGACGTGGTATAGGTTGGAAAGGTCAAGGTCAGGTCAAGAATGGACTGGCTGATACAGGATGACCAACCCCAAATGGGTTCTTAGAGGGGCTTGTAATGTTAAGGGGTAGCGCATAGACAGCGACTCGGTTTTTCAGAATCTGGCCTGTGCCTCTGTTAGCAACAAGCTCTGGGCTGGACAGACCATATGTCATAAGACATTGTGCTTGTGATTTTTAGCGAACAGATAAATAGAATAAGCGATGCCATCGACAACTCCGTTGAAGACAGGGCGGTGAGGACAGACATTAGTGGTGGCATGAGGAAGTGAGGGTAGCTGGCTGGGGCACGGGCTGGAAGGCGTCGTAAGGGGAGGAGGCGGGGTGTAAGACTCCCTCACTGAGATCAGTCATGGGGAAGGCAGCACATTTGTTTGGAGTTAAGCTGCTCCCTGGCCTAGAAGCTACAGAAATCCCTTCCAGCTTTTGAAAACCAAGTAAGGTCTCAGTTCTGCTCAACCCACAAATGAAGCCACAAGAACATTTAAACGGAGTGAGAGTTACCAGCCAGGTCTTGAGTTCTCTTGCCAGACCTGTTCTTCCTCATTTCAGTCAACAGTAACATCATCTATCCAAACCTGGGGCCACCCTTGATTCCTTCCTTTTCCTCATCCTTCCCTCCTGACCCTACCTCAACCCTAACACATCAACCAACATCTTTCCCTCTGCTACCAAGACCTCGAGTGAAACAACATTGCCTCTCCCTTGGACTTGGTAATAGCCTCCTAAGAGGTATTCCTATCTTTGCCACCGCCTTCAATTCCTTCCGCCATAACAACCCAGGGTTGTCTATTAAAAATGCAATCTGAGGGGCGCCTGGGTGGCTTAGTCGGTTAAGCGTCCGACTTTCGCTTGGGTCATGATCTCGCGGTTCGTGGGTTCGTGCCCCGTGTCGGGCTCTGTGCTGACTGCCAGCTCAGAGCCTGGAGCCTGTTTCAGTTTTTGTTTCTCTCTCTCTCTCTGACCCTCCCCTGCTCATGCTGTCTCTCTCTCTCTCTCTCTCTTAGAAATAATAAAAATATTAAAAAAAAATGCAATCTGAGTCCCATCACACCCCTATGATTGGAATAAATACAAAGTCCTTACCATGGCCTATAGGATCTTAGATAATCAGCTGCTGGTGACGTAACTGATTCCATTCATAATGTTCTCCCTTTGCTCATGAGCCCCAGACACACTGGTCTTTCTTCCCATTTCTTTAATTTTTAAAAAAAATTTTTTCAAAGTATATTTATATTTGGAGGGAAAAGGGGCAGAGAGAGGCAGAGACAGACTCCAAAGCAGGCTCCAGGCTCTGAGCTGTCAGCACAGAGCCCGATGCGGGGCTCGAACTCACGAGCCATGAGATCATGACCTGAGCCAAAGTCAGATGCTTAACCAACTGAGCCACCCAGGTGCCCCTGTTTCTGTTCCTTAAACCAAGCCCCTCCCCACTTTGGGCATCATCCTTGCTTGTTCTCTGTGCCTGGGTCTGTCCTTACCCTCAACCTTTGGGTCTCCACATAAGCATTGCTTCCTAGGAGAGGCCTTCCACGGCCACGTTACCTTCTTCAGTATCTTTCCTCCCCACGTCTCTACCTCCGCGCCACAGGTCACTTTCCATCGTGTTCCACCTGCTTGTTTCCTTCAGTTCACTAGTCACAGCCTCAAGTCAGCTGGTCTATTTATTACTTGTTCACAGTCTGTCTGTCCACACTGGAAGGTAGGCGCCATGATGACAGGGAGCCTGTCTCACTTCCTGCTCCAGTCCTGGCACCGGGCACAAAGGAGGCCCTCGTTCATGACTTGCTAAAGGACTAAAGGTGGATTCTGAAGATGCCTGAGAACACATCTGTCTCTTTTTTTTTTTTAATTTTTTTTTTAACGTTTTATTTATTTCTAGGAGAGAGAGAGAGAGGGAGACAGCGTGAGCAGGGGAGGGTCAGAGAGAGAGGGAGACACAGACTCTGAAATAGGCTCCAGGCTCTGAGCTGGCAGTCAGCACAGAGCCCGATGCGGGGCTCGAACCCACGAACCGCGAGATCATGACCTAAGCGAAAGTCGGACGCTTAACCGACTAAGCCACCCAGGCGCCCCACACATCTGCCTCTTTGCAGCAAAAACTCATTAGGAACAACAAAATGTTGAAGGCTATTCTGATAGAATGCCTAAGGGTTTCCAGAGGGACAGAGAGACCAGAGCCCAGTGTCATCCATCTCCACCCTCAGCTGACCAGCCTGCTCCATTTGTTGGTGTGTTGGGAGAGGTCTCCAACAAGCCAGGACTGAGCGCAGGGGTGAGGCCGGGGTTTTGGAACTGTACATAGGCAGGGCTTTGACCGGCCCTGCTTCTGCTCCCAGCCTTCTGCTGAGGAACGAGCCAAAGCACGCGGCATTTCCAGCTAAGACCGGGCCACACTGCTTGGGAAAGATGTTCCCAGGAGATCTCCCACGAACAACAGAGGGATTAGAAAACCCATTTCTGGGCTGCCTGGCTGGCCTCTCAGAACATTCCTTTGCATTAAGGACACCCAGTTCCAAATCAGGCCTCTGGTCCTCAGGGTACTGCAAAGGGAAAGGTGCCCTCTAACCACCAAGTTCCTTTAGGGTGAAAGGGAGAGGAAGCCGCATTTCTTTGTTGAATGGTGACTACCATATTGGAGAAGGCCCTGGGGACGTGGCTTTATACGAGGAAGGAATCTAAGATAATATATACATTTGCATTCTCAACACCATGAGACCTTACTTACTTCATTCTCACCGAATAGAGAATGAAATAAACCATCTGACACAGGTATTATTGCTTCTGCTTTAAAGAGGAGAAAACAAATTCTCAGAGAGGTTAAGTAACTTGCCCCAAGTCACACAGCTCGTACCCAGCAGAACTGGGATTTTTAGCACATGTCCCTTATGACTCCTCCAGCTTATTTTATACAAGCAGGTGTATCAACTCTGGATGCCAGCTCTGCGCTGTGGCTGCAGTGAGGAACCACAGAAGCCTCCCGTTTAAATT